TGATAATTCTCTTGAACTCTTCCATCTTAACAAAAAATATATGAATTGACAACATGTTGGTAAGGGTAAAAAGGATACAGAATAGAAAGGGGGTGATTTTTGTTGTATAAACTCTGTTTAAATACTTTTGGTCTAACATGTGACAAACTTTAATTTTTATTCTTTATAAATAAAAATATTTTATTTTAGTCTCTATACATATTATTGTTACTTTTCTTTTAATACCTATAACTTCATAAACTTTACCTTGTATTCTATACAGTATTAGACGATTAGGACTAAAAAGAAAAAACAAATAGAATTTGTATAAATACAAAAAAAAATTATAAAATTAGAAGGTAAAATTTATTAAACTATATATGTTAAGGATATTTTTCTTTACATGAATGTATATGTTAAGGATATTTTTCTTTACATGAATGTACTAATGAATATTTAAACCTATAAATTATATTAATACACGCCCACGATTCATTCTATGGTTATAAAAAAAGTAATACTACTATTATTTTATTACTAAGGTTCTTTTCATTTATTTCGCTTCAAATAACATTTAAATTTAAATGTTTTTCACTAGTTTGGTCAAGTTTTATGATTGTAATTGTTTATTTATTTATTTTTTTCCCCTTTTTCAATGATATATGATTTATTTTTTCCACTATTTGTGTATAAGTTTTTTGTTTGGGCCTACTATGTATCCTTTCTCTCTATTATCAGGATCTGTTAACACTTGACAGTTATATAAATAAAAAATCAGTCTCACACCCTTGAATCATGCTTAAATTTCTCCTTTGGTTTGAAATTTATGTCATTCTCGAAAATTTTCATATTAATCCTACATTATTTCCTACTCAAATGATGTATGTATCTTAAATTTAAAGTAGAACATGCTTTCAGAATAGCTAGTCACCTAGAGACTGGTGTAAGTGTATCTAAATATAGGTTTTCAATTCCTACAGAGTTGAGAGTGATGATATGTGGACTTTATGTAATTAAGTTTAGGATACATTCCGTCCAGTTCAATCTATAATATATAATATTGTCGAAGTGTTAGGTGGCATTTATCATGTCATCAAAATCTATTAACCGAGCCTTAGTTGCATGGCTTGTCGAACAACATGTACCAGTGAATTTATATTCCTATTTTCCAACTAGTTTCTTAGTTGCTTCTTGATTTACGGATAATCAGCCTGGAACTCAAATAATCGTTATTACTATTGATAGAGTCGCAAAGTACCAGGAAGCAAATCCCGGTGTATACACAATTGTCACCTTTCCATTCCTTTTTGCTGTAATGTTTGGTGACTGGGGTCATGGCATATGCTTATTACTGGCGGCTTTGTACTTCATAATCAGAGAGAAACAATTTTCGAGTCAGGTATTCAATCTTAACGTTTCCTCCTATTTTATGCCAGCTTCAGTTTTCTTGAGTGTTTCTGTTAACGGCAGAAACTTGGAGACATAATGGAAATGGCTTTCGGCGGACGCTATGTTATTACCATGATGGCACTCTTCTCAATCTATACCGGGTTGATATATAACGAGTTCTTCTCTGTTCCATTTGAACTATTTGGCCCATCTGCCTATGGATGTCGTGATCCTTCATGCAGGTGGTTATTAGTACAATTTATTCAACATTAGTTTTCTTTTCTACTAATTGGTTACATTATAAATATGCCTGTGTAATATTTATTATTACCTTTTTCAGGGATGCTTCTACAACAGGCTTATTAAAAGTCCGTGGAACTTATCCATTTGGTGTGGATCCTAAATGGCATGGTACTCGGAGTGAATTGCCATTTCTTAATTCTTTGAAGATGAAAATGTCAATTCTGCTGGGAGTATCCCAGATGAACCTTGGAATCGTAATGAGTTATTTTAATGCAAAATACTTCGAAAACAACATAAATATCTGGTAATAGCGAAAATCAATTGGTTGAATGAATGTGATCTGTGGTGTATGGTTTTGTTGTTGTTTGATTTTTCGATGATGCCTTAGGTACCAGTTCGTTCCCCAGATGATATTCTTAAACAGCTTGTTTGGCTACCTTTCACTCCTCATAATTATAAAATGGTACAAAGGGTCACAGGCTGACCTGTATCATGTGATGATATACATGTTCCTAAGCCCGACTGATGATTTGGGTGAAAACCAGCTTTTTGTTGGTCAGCAGTTCCTTCAAGTGAGAAATTTTAACTTTGATGTGGATACTTTTTTTATTTTTTTTATTTTAATAACACTGAACAGATGCCACATCTGAACTGTCCACTGTTTCATTGATGTTAGCTCGTGTTACTACTTTTGGCACTAGTTGCTGTACCATGGATGCTATTACCAAAGCCCTTTCTCCTAAAGAAGCAACACCAAGAAGTACATTCAAAACTATTATTTTGATTTCCTTTTTTTTTTTTTTTCATTTTTATTGAATTCCCTTCTAATTTTTATTACCATGCTTCCGCAGAGGCATCAAGGTCAATCTTACTCTTTGCTTACGGATGACTCTCTCGAATCAGAGTCGCATAGTATTCCCCGTGACCATGACGAGTTTGAGTTCAGCGAGGTTTTTGTGCACCAACTCATACATACAATAGAATTTGTGCTTGGAGCTGTTTCTAATACAGCTTCATATCTACGTTTATGGGCCCTCAGGTAGGTAGTTGAAAGCGTTTGATGCAATTCTGTGCATTTTTGTTACAATTAATCAAAATTCAACATGGATATGGGCTTGCTGTTTCCCCCTTTCAAAAAGGTGATGGCTCAGTTAGGAATACAATTTAGGCTTTTTGATAAACTTGCAATTCGTAGATGGCAAGTACTTTGAATAAGGTCCAGTGGGCTTTGGATTCCTGTTAAGTCCTAAGGAACGGAAGAAACCTCACACAAAATGACTAAATATTAGAAGGAATATATTGGAAACCTAAACATCATCTTATTATCGCAGAAAGCCTCTAGTGACCTCGTGAATTGAATTACATTGCCTAGGGAGTATGATGCAAAATTGAATTCCACCAAGGAAGAGGAGCTAGTCACTGCAGTGGTGTTGTGGCCTTCAAAAGACACGGTGACCGGAAAAAAAATGCTGTTAAGCACAAGTGACTCTTGATACCATATAGAAAAGGATTGAATAATCAGATTTTTCATTATTCTACCACGACATATATACTGAGGGTTTGTTACGTAAAGATAAGAAAAGATAACTATAGGAATCAATTACTAAGCTGCTATTATTTGACAGAATAATGTTTGAAAATTTAAAATATAAAATAAAGTGGTTGTTGATAATGAGAGAACTAAGGAGAGGTAGTCCAAACAGCCTCTATGTGTAATTGAATCAAACCATTTGTGGTTGGCCAGTTTCTGAATTTAGAAAATCTAGGCATTGTGTCATGGAAGAAACCATGAAAGACACGATAAAACCTATATAAAGCCACTTGCAGAAGAAAATGAAAGTCTATGAAAATCGTCTACAACTTTACCAGTCAGTAAACCCATTCAAAAGCACTCTTTCATCTTGGTTAAGTCCGGATATCTATATATTGGCTAGTATTAACATGTATATGTTATTGATTTGATGACAAAATGATCATCAGCTTTGACGAAGAGACCTCAACACTACTGTCTTGTCCTTTGTATCAGCAAATTTCAAGATTCAGCCCTTTTTGGTCCTTTCAAGGGTTGTTTGATTGGAAATACTAATCAGGGTAGTTAAATGACAAAAACTGATATGGTTTTATTGCCGTCCACGCATTTGTTGCAGCTACTTGTTCTACAAGGTTTTCATACCTTTTTATTCACCTAGTGTCCTAAAAAAGTAGGAATACTTTTATTACAAGAGAGAATATTTAATATATTGAAATTATAAAAGGCATTAAACACTTGATTTTTTTAAGTAATTACCAATTAGAAGCATTTAGTGTAAATTTGATGTTCCTCAACATTTAACACACTTGTTAGCACAGCCCTTCATTATAAAACCTTGCATCTCTAAGTGCATTATACCTTTCATTTTAATTCTCTCTTCGTTTTTTTTTATCTTGTTCAGCCTTGCTCATTCAGAGTTGTCCAGTGTTTTCTATGACAAAGTTCTGCTTCTGGCCTGGGGGTAAGTTGTTTGGTTGTGTTGTGTAAGTGGTGGGCCATTAAGAAGGTTATTAGACGCATTAACCCAGTATGTTTGTGTGACTGATGCAGGTTCGATAACACTATTATTCTCATTGTTGGCATTTTAGTTTTTATATGTGCAACTGTTGGTGTGCTACTGTTAATGGAAACTCTAAGTGCTTTCTTGCATGCTTTGAGACTTCACTGGGTAGAGTTCCAGAACAAATTTTATGAGGGAGATGGTTACAAGTTTTTCCCGTTTTCATTTACATTACTCACGGATGAGGATGACCTGTAAGCTAGAAAATACCATATGATATCTTATATAGATAGAAATATGTCAGTTTTACCTCGAGAACCTGGCATGTATATAAGCTATCCCTACATGTCACATAGTTTGTAGTTATACGGTGTATATATATGCTGCCAAAGTCAGTAAAATCAGGCAGTGACTCTAGAATATCTATCTTTCCTGTTTGTAGGCCATTACACATTACATTTGTAATTAAAAACCAAATGGCCAGCATGAGGAAGGAAAAATAATAGTCTCCATTCCATTGGCTGTTCTAGTCAGTAACTTTCATTTGAGGGTTTCCATTGTGCAGAAGGCATTGCGTATAAAAATGCCTACACAATCAAGTGTATAGTGTAAAGCACTTTTGAAGATCAATCAATTTATATAATTGTTGTCACTCATGAATTCTTATTGTTTCTAGACCACATTGTCGTGTCAAATTAATCTGGTAGACAATTTATTACTGAAATCTTGAGACGTTCAGTTGTCTGCTATTGTTATTTGTATTATATTCTTACCTGTTATCTTTTAGCAGATTTCTCTTGCCGAGAAGTGCAGTAAAGACAATGTTAATAGTGGGGACACAAATTATTTCCAGTAAGGTTACTCACAATAACTATCGATAACGTTGGATAATAATTAGTAGCTAGAATAGCTAGCATACAGAATTACAGGAAAAAGTAAAGCATAAACATGAGCTTGGCAATTATCTCCAAGATAACATTACATCGTGCAAATTATTTACATAAACCACACTATACTAGTGCCGGCATCATTATATTTAATGGTTAGAAGTTTGTATAGCAGCTACAGTCGAGACCATTGAGTCCACTCCACACACATTGCGACCTCTGCAGATCTTGTAATATCCGTTTTCTCCCCAGCTCTCCCCCCATGAATTCTTTATAATCCAGTAGGGCTTTTCCTTAAGCCGAATAGGAGCATATGCACCAGCACCATAGCCCACCAGAAGAACCCCATGATCCAAATGCTTGCCGCAAATGTATGGGCATGAGACGCCACCAATGTACGTCTGCATAAAAACTGCATTGATACCAACTGTGCCATGCAAAGCAAGAGTCAGTGTTTCTCGAATCCGCGATTCAATATATCTTATCATTTTTGAGGGTGGGAGTAGGGACTATCAAAGAATTGAAAGAATCATCTAAAATTTTAACATTTCCTTTGGGGGAAGGGTTAGAGAAGTTAGGAAAACAACAGAAAACAAGCTACCTGCAAGAGGACCATTCTTCACCAGATTTGCAGCAATCTGTTCTTCGTCAAGGGAAACCACACTGAAATTAGCTACAGAAGCAGCAATTTTGCTCTTGTCAAATTTGCAGGTGCCACGGTCTCTTCCAGTGTAAGGATATTCCTCTTCTCGCATTAGTCCACCAGCCTTGAGTGTGTACTCAAAAGCAGTTGTCATCAACCCACCGTTACAGCCCGAGTCACACGCTCCACGCTCTTCCGGATCACACTGAGAAATTTGTAGATAACGTTAATTCTCAATGTTTTTGCAAAATCCAAACCAGACCTCGCAGGTGGCCAGTTTTATCATCTTCCTACCTATGGAACTTGGGTTCAAATTCTAAAAAACAAAATCCACCGATTGGTACATCGTGTTTCAATATATCACAACAATAATCAAATCATGCGATTTACCAAGCACGGCAATTATACTATATGTTTGCATGCATATGAAGAATGAATTGGTGAATTTATCAAGAGGCAGTGTGGCACATACAATAATTTCACAGAAAATCTAATGGTCGAATCGAAGAAGCATAAATAGGAAAGTAAAAATAGAGAAGATTCTTTATCTAGACTAACCTCATGATCGCAATCCACTAGTTGTTGTTCACTAAGGCTCACTAGCTCACCGGTGGCGAGAAAATGAGCACCTTCCAACGCTCCTACGGCGCTAAATGACCAACACGATCCACACGAACCCTGGTTCTTGACGCCAGTAACAGCTCCGTGGTCGCGCCAATCGAAATCGGTAGGTAGGTCGTTGGTCGGCAGGATCGGAGCCTTTTGAGCGTCGGAGGGAAGACGGAGCGGCTTGAGGCCGAGGAACTGGCTGCGGAACTCCGACGGAGTGAGATCGGAGAACCTTGTGACGCCGTGGACGGCGGAAGGATCGAGCTTTTGATGAGACTTGGCTCGGAGCAAGTTGCTCTTAAAGACGCGGAACCGATGGTCGTGCTCCTCCTGCGTGGCGTAGGTCTTGGCGAACTTGGTCTTGAAGGCGGAGAAGTGGTGCTCGGCGTTGAGCAAGTGGTCCTCCGCACCAGGCACCACTTGACGGATCAGAAGGTCTTCTTCGTCGCCGATCCGGTCGGCGGTTGCCACAGCGACGGAGAAAAGGAGGAGAGTGGAGAGAAAGTAGAGTGAAGGATTAGCCATTGGGGGAATAGAAAGGTGAGAGAGAAAAGGGGATGGATATTTTGGCCTTTGGGGGAATTTTATGAACTCTTCCTCCATGAATATCGTAAACGGAAGTAGCCAATGCCATTAAGACACGCGTTTCTCCATTATTGGGGTTGGAGTTTCCAAGCTAACCACTGCACTCCTCAGCCCATCAGTTCCAGGCGGTCCTCTTATTCTCTTCACAGTTTCTCAAAAATTAATATTTTAAATTTTTTTATTAAATTTAAAAAATATATTTCTTTAGTCTTCAATACAGTGAATATACATCTTAGTTTTGCCTTTATTTAGTTAGTATCTGTATTTCACATGCTATATCCTTATTACATATTATCTTGATTTTTATTTATAAAATTAACTTAGAAAACTGTTTAAATTCATAATATTTGATGAATTAATTATTTTTAAATTAAAATATTTTTAATTAAAATATATTTTTAATTTGATAATATATATTAGTTATAATTTTTAATGCTGTACATTGAAATTTTGAGTTGTGATTTTTATTTATTTATTTTTATAAAAATACAATGAATTCATAAAGTCTTTTATATTTATAATCAAATCATTGAGATAAATTTTCGTAATAATATGAGAAATCATACAGTATTTTTTTTTCTTTTTAATACATGAAGTGATTTTTTTTCCAACTTCTCTATATTGACAACATATCCAACGTGGCATGGAGGATTCATATTCTATTTATACTATACCAGTGCGTATACCTGTTCGTTGCACGGTGAGAAATTTATATTTTTATATAAAAAAATATAACTATAAATATCAAGGTAAAGTTGAGACAAAATTTTATCATACTTACACAATTATATTTAATATAAGACTTAAATATATTTTTAATTTCTGTAAAATAAATAAGTTTTGATTATAAATTTTATAAAAAGAAATTATATGTTCATCATTTTTTAAAATTAGGAATTGTTATATTTAAAAAAAAACTATTATTATTAGTCTATATTGTTATATAATTATTTTAATTAAAAAATTAAATAATCATCTTACATAATATCTACAATTATACATGATATATGGTATTTTTTAAAAAAATTTCTATATTAATATAATTATTATTCATTAAGAAAAAAAACTTTAATTAAAATAAATAATACTCCTAACTATAATATAATAATATTAATAATATCATTATTTAAAATAAAAAAAAGGATGTTATAACTAGTATCTGAAAATATAATTGAGTGGAATTTTTAGATTCTTGTTTTGATGAACCTAAAAGATATTTACATTCTTATTTATACTAATAAATAACTACTTTCATGAATTCTCATTAAAATTGGGTTCACATGAAAACAATCTTTTATATATATATATATATATATATATATATATATATATATATATATATATATGGAATTATAATTTAATGTTTATATTTACTAAATTCACATTTAATATAAAATTATTGAATAGTATAATAGTTAATAAAAGTTACACTAATATCGTTTAAACCCTTTTCATATATATATATGATTAATTTGCACGATTTTTAATAACATATATCATATTTACAATACATTTCATGAGCTATTTAGATGATAATATGTAAATAAAGGTAATTTTGTATATAATTTGAGTTTTGAGATTTGCATAACATCAAGTATTTGTTATAAAAATTATTTTACGTGACTATATTGGAATTTGTGAATAATAATTTTTATATTAGTATTTGTAGGGATGAAGCACTCTGTGCTTCTAATAATTAGACACAAATAAATATTAAAAGTTGTGGATAGTTATTCAGAAAGAATATAAATTATTTGTTTATTTTTTTAAATCAAAGGGGTATAATGTAAAAAAATAAAAATAAAGGTGGTTATCAAATATAAATTTCCTTTATAAATACTAGAGGGGTCGAGGCACTTCGTGCCTTAAATAATTATACATAGACAAATATTAGAAATTTTAGAAGATATAAGATTTTTTTTTTACATTCAAGGTATAATAGTAATAAGTAACGTAAAATTATTTATACAATTGTATTATTTATCTAGTGAGGCCGAGGCACTTCGTATTGGATAAATCATGCAAAGGGGATATGTTTATACGAATCGAAAGGAACAAAAATAGTTCGTGCATATTTGTTCCTCCATTCTTTTTTATCAGATATGTTTTCTTGTAAAATTATTTATACGATTGTATTATTTATCTAGTAGGGAAAATGCACTACGTACCTACATTGTATTAAAATAAAAAATAAAAAAAATGAAAAGTTACTCAAAAAGATAATTATTAAAAATAAACAAAGGATAAAATTGTCCATATAAAAATAAAAACTAAAAATAGTTATTGACAATGATATCCCCTTTATATATTAGTATAAATTTATTAGTTTGAAGTTTTTTAATTTGATTAAAAATATTTTTTATATTTTAAAAATAAAAGAGTATAATTGTCAGAAAAAGTGGAGACCAAGGTAGTTGCCGAAAAAGATATCCTCTTTACATCTTCAACAATGTTGAATTAGTTGATGATTAGAATAAGGAACTATTAGCATTTCCCTAACTTCCGTCATTATTATTTTAGATCTATGTTTTTTTTTTAATTTTGATTTTATATATATATATATATATATAATGATAATTGTACCATATTAATCCAACATTTGTGACACCCTCTACCCCATTATTAATATACAACA